TTGAAGCGTCCTTAAAACTCAGCTGATAGCCTCGACAATAACTCTCTTACTCACATTTGGCATTTTAAGGAGCCAAAAGAAGATAACTAAGATTCAAGGACAAAAAAGTTCATTTTACCAAGTGAGAAGTCATGCAAAGACAGAACTTCCAGGCCCCTAGGGAGCCAGGATGGCAGATTTTACTACCCAGCTCCAAGCCTACCCCTTCGGTCAGTTACTAAGTCACTTCCAACACTGCCCTCCCATATCTGTGTAAGGAAACGCTAAGCCGTTAAGAATTCCAAGCTGGGCCAAAGGGATGGTTCAGTGATTAAGAGCACATAGGCTCTTGCAGAGGGAGGGTCAGAGTTTAATTCCTACACCAGGCAGCTCACAACTGCCTGTGACTCCACCTCCGGGGACACAAACACAGACGTCTGCTTTCAGACCTCCATGGGTTTCTGCACTCATATGCACCCCCCCATTCATGTGTGTATATATGTATGTGTATATGTATATATGTGTGTGTACATATACATAATTAAAAATAAAACCTTTAAGAATTCCAAACTGCACTAGGTGAAAAGGCTGTGTATAAGCATTACACTCATGTATATAATAGGGGTCAGAAACTCTTATGTGCAGCAAGTTTTATTGGAATGATGTCTGGGAACTTCAGGCTGGACTCAAAGAACAGTGATCTTTCACTAAAGACGTGTGGGGGGGGTGGCGCGCTGGTGTGTGTGTTTGTGTGTGTAAGCCAGAAACTGGTTGTGTATATTTGTGTGTGTAAATCTGAGGCTGGTGTGTGTGTGTCTGTGTGTGTAAGCCAGAGGCTGGTGTGTGTGTGTGTGTGTGTGTGTAAGCCAGAGGCTGGTGTGTGTGTGTGTATGTGTGTGTAAGCCAGAGGCTGGTGTGTGTCCGTACTTAAGTCTGAGGCTGTGTGTGTGTGTGTGTGTGTGTGTGTGTGTGTGTGTAAGCCAGAGGCTGGTGTGTGTGTATGTGTGTGTAAGCCAGAGGCTGGTGTGTGTCTGTATTTAAGTCTGAGGCTGTGTGTGTGTGTGTGTGTGTGTGTGTGTGTGTGTGTAAGCCAGAGGCTGGTGTGTGTGTGTATGTGTAAGCCAGAGGCTGGTGTGTGTCTGTATTTAAGTCTGAGGCTGTGTGTGTGTGTGTGTGTGTGTGTGTGTGCGCGCACGCTCGCGCGCACGCACACCAGAGGCTGGTATCAGATGTCTTCCTGTCACTCTCCATTTTATTTTTCCAAGATTTATTTGAACATACACAAATTGCCTGTATGTATGTATGTGCACCATCTTAGTGTTTTATGTGTATGGGTGTTTTGCTTACAGGTATTGTGTGCACCATGTGTATGCCTAGTGCCTGCAGAAGTCAGAGGTGGGTATCACATCCTCTGGTACTGAAGTACAGAGGACTGGGAGCCACCATGTGGGTATTGGAAACTGAAACCTCATTTTCTGTAAGACCAGCAAGTTCTCCTAACCACTGAGCCATCTCTCCAGCCTCTGTGCTTCAACTTTTTGAGAGAGAGAGAGAGAGAGAGAGAGAGAGAGAGAGAGAGAGAGAGAGAGAGAGAGAGAGAGAGACTGACTCTTTCTGAACTTAAGAACTTGCTGTTTCAGCTAGGCTGGTTGACCAGGACACTCCAGCGATCCACCCGTCTCTGCTCTCTCTACAGCACTGGGTTACAAACACACTAGCACATAGGACTTTTTCACATGTGCTAGGGATCTGAACCCAGGTCCTCATGCTTACCCAGCGAGTACTTTACCCAATGGGCATCTCCATGCCCCCGAGTGTGTGTGCGCACGTGCATGCCCATGCACGCTACAGGTCATGTGTGGGGTCAGAGGACATTAATCAATTCTCTCCTTCCACTATGGGTTCTAGGACTCTGGTCACCAGGCCTGCATGACAAGCCATTTTAACCATTAAGTCATCTCACTAGACCACTACCTACCAATTGCCTGCCTGAGTGAAGAGTTATTTCAAATGAATCTCTACATTATAAGACATGTGTTTGCCAGCAGCAAGCTACCTAAGAGGTTAGCTTCCATGTGCTGCCTAATTACTGTCTGTCCCCCCTCTAGATGCAGTAGTTTAATTCTACTCCCATCTCCATTTCCCTGATGCTCACACCCTGACCAGGTCCAGAAGTTATCATCAGCTGCAGTGCAGATGTCTCACGGTCAGGTCTGTCAGAGCTGAAGTGGCTGATGGGAAACCTGTCTCCTCCGGAAGACAGAGTGAGCCTCCAGGCCAAGGCTGGCCCCCACTTGGTCCCCAGTAAATGAACACAATACTGACTGGCCCAAACATCCCCCTTCCCTTTGCTTGATGATTAAAGATGCCAAGAGGCCCCTGGGGTTTGTCAGCTCCTGAGGCAAAACAGGAAATCGGGGTTGGGATCCTCCTTGACCCTGATCCCTCTTCTGCTCACCTGTGGCTCCTTTCCGTGACTACCACCACCCCTTGAACATACCCTGACAGAACTTCCCTGGTGCTACGAAGAGTCAAGTTTGGAAACTATTCTACATATGTCCTGTGAGCATCAACTCTAACGAAAAATAAAAAGTACTGTGTTTATGTCTTCTTTTTAGTATTGGTGCCAAAACTGGCAGAAAACAATACTCTTCCTATAGAAACCAGATGTCAGACTGTCTTCTCCTAAGCTAATTATATGCAGGGTAATTATCCCACAACTCTAGAAGAAGCAGAGCCTCACCTCCCAGCTCCCAGGCTGCACACAATCTAAACTGTAGCCTCGGTAGCTGGGGGATAAATGCATTAGTGTACCTTCTACGCCCTTCATTCCTGGGATGTAGTCCCAGCACCTACATTAGGGGCATTGGTACCTTTTCCTTTGTTAGTTCAATGATCTACAATGACAGAAATACAGACACACATACCTGCTTCTTGGAGGCATGCTCACCTTTTCCTTCACAGCCAAGATTCACAGGAAGACACTGCCCCCAGGAACCATTTCATTTTTTTTGAGAGGGGGGTAACAAGAAGCCCAGAGGACCTGAGAAACTTGGCTAAAGTCACCCAGCTACTTACACATGGCTGAGAATGTTATCCTGGTGACTCATGAGGACTTGATTAAGATGGGTCACAGTGCAAGGTTGGTTTCATGAGCCACAGCAGGGCCTAGAGATATGCTGTGACACTCAGTATGCACAGTAGCTCTCTCCTACCCTGTTTCCTCTGCTGGGGTTTCACTTACCTGAGATCAAGAATGGTCCGGAAGTATTAAGTGGAAAATTGCAAAAAAAAATAACCCATAAATCTGAAATAATTTTATTATAAATATGTTGCTATAATTACTCCAGTTATTAGTTATTACTAATATCTTACTATACCTAATTGACAAACATAACTTTGTCACAGGCATGTAGATACAGAAAAGCAGTGTGTTTATGCGCGCATATGTACAGAATGTAAATATGTGTCTATGAATTAAAATGTGTAAAAGTGTGTATGTGTGTACCTGTGTGATTGTGTTTACATGTCTTCATGTATGTCGGCGTTATCTCTTTCAGAGTATGTTTGAATGTGTGAGTCTGTATATGTGTTGTGTATCTGTGTGTGTGTATGAATGTGTATATGTGTTGTATGTCTGGATGTATGAATGAGTATATGGGTATATGAGTGTCTTTCTGTATATATAGCATACAAGTGTGTATGTGTTTATTTTCTTGTGTGTGTATGTTTTTAAATCTGTATGTGTGTTCATGTATGTATTTGTGTGGATGCGTATATGTATGTCTCTACATGTGTACCTATATATGTGTTTGTATGTCTGTGTTTGTATGTATATTTGTATGTGCCTGTGTGCCTTGTCTGTATGTGTGTACACATGTGCACGTGTGTGTGGTACAGTACTGTCTTCATTCAAGCACTCACCTGGGTTTTGAAACCTGTGCCCCACAGATATGGGGCCCTTCTTATTTAATTGCCAAAAACTTCAGAACTCAAACACTAGCAGGTTTCTTAAGCACCCCTGTATTCCAAACCACCATCAACTTTCTACGATTTGTTTATTATGTGAGTGAAAGGTGTGTGTGTGTGTGTGTGTGTGTGTGTGTGTAGATGCCACATGTGAGGGGCCCATGGACACCAGAAAGGGGCACTGGATCTTCTGGGTCTGGAGCTACAGGCAGTGGTAAGCTAGCTGGGAACTGACCTTGAGTCCTCTGGAAGAGCAGCAAGTGCTCTTCAAACCCCACTATCAACTCTGGAGGACAGAAATACAGTATTCCTTGTGGTAGTCCTGGGCCATCTATGGCTACTGAGGACTTGAACTGTGGCCAGCGCATTGGAGAAACCAAATTTTCTCATTGTGTTTCAGTTAAACAGTTCTGAAGCGCATGTGTCAGGAGGCTTCCACGGTAGATAGTGGACGCTTACCTTCTTGGTTCTCCGGGGTTGAGTGAGAACACTGAACTCTGAAGACACATGGACTGATTTGAACCTCCTAGTTCAATTAATTCGCCCTGTCAGTTAGCTCCTACCTCAGCTGTCAAGCACCTTACAAGGGATTACTATTACTATCCCTACCTCATAGACTTACACAGCCCCTGGAAGGCACTCAGCACACGAGGAGAACAAGCCTCCTGTGTTCCCTCTCTCTATTTAACTGTAAAATCTAGAATTTACCTAAGGGATGTAGTCCATGCCAGAGGAAGAGATGTCCACTCAAGGAAATAAGGACTCCGAGTTCCCACCCAGGAGGACCCCACAATGGGTGGAGATGACACCCGAACAATCTCACTTCTCTCCGGTGTTCTGTGCCTACAACTTTTGATACTGATGAACACCAAGTCAAAGCTGCTTACACTTTGCTTCTAGAAGCCATGGGCATCTTGGGAAGCAGTCAAAGGCAAAGCAGCGGAGGCAGAAAATGTCATGGGGAGCTCAGGAGGGTCCTGAGACGGTTTCCTTGGTTGCCGCCCTCCTTGCTCCCTCATATGGGTCCCATGGAAACCCAAGCCCCTAGTTACCTGAAGCAGCAGCGGTGGGGGTACTGGCCGGTGGAGGCTGGGCGGAGCTGCTGGTCTCAGCCATCAGGCACGGGTTGCTAGCATTATTCTCTCTCTTGACAAGCAGCTCAGCTGCACTGGGCAGCGGGATGGGGTGGCTGATGCCCAGTTCCTCTTCCTGGGCCTGCTGTCTTCTCAGGGCCACCTGGAAGCACAGGGCAGTGAGTGACCCTCCAGCACACTCAGCTGCAAGGTTCTGCTAAGCTACTGTGCCTCTCAGCATTCCGCCTTGTCCAGTCACCTGACTCCCTAGGTGTGCTGGCACAAGCTGGAGTCACTGGAAAGGAGGGAGCCCCAATTGAGAACATGTCTCAATATGATTGGGCTACAGGCCAGCCTGAAGGGTATTTCCTTAATTAGTAATTGATGTGTGAAGGCCCAGTCCATTGTGAATGGGACCACTCCTGAGCAGGAGATCCTAGGTTCTGTAAGAAAGCAGGCTGAGCAAACCCTGGGGAGCAAGCCAGTAATCAGAACCCCTCCATGGCTTCTGCATCAGCTCCTGCCTCCAGGTTCCTGCCTGTTGGGAGTTCCTGTCCTTGCTTCCTTCAATGGTGAATGTCAATGTGGAGGTGTAAGCCAAATAAACCCTCTCCTCCCCAAGTTGCTTTTTGGTTATGGTGTTTCATTGTGGCCATATAAACCCTAACTAAGACACTACGTAACTAAAATATGCCAAGCTGGAAAAACTGTAGAATGGACTTAATACCAAGAAAAGGCTCTGATGGGTTAGAAAGGAGAATTAGACCATTCACTCCTTCATTCGGCATGTGAATATCAGCCAGTGAGGTCAGCTTAGACCCAAGTTCCTCACCACGTAGGAGAAAATCGAGGGAAGCGAGCACGCATGCAAAATCAAGACAAAAATGTGCTAGGCACCATGAGACATACGCAGAAGCCTATAGAAAAAATTCCAATGAAAATATACTTAAAACGTAGGTAAGCATTGTGGCATATGCCAGTAATCCCAGCATGCAGAAGGTTGAAGCAGGAGGATGGAGAGATTGAGGCAAACCTGGGCTACAGAGCAAGCCCCTACCTCAGAAAAAAAATTATGCCTTTAAAATATAAGCATCCAACAAAGATTCAAGCAGAGCAGTACAGAATGGGTGAGCAGGGTTTGTAACAATCTGGAAGAAGAGTGGGCAGGAAAGTCAGGGACTGCTCTGGTACCCCAGAAGAGCCCTGTTTCCCAAGGCAGGGTGGAGCTAGGGAGGAGGGGGCTGGAATCTGGTGCTTGAAGTCCCTGGAGTAGGTGATTCCGGTAGGAAGGTGAACTGGAACTGAGAAAGAACCCAACATGCACTTACTAAACTCTGTGTGGTCCTTATTCAACTTGTCTTTTAAATAGCTGTTGTTAAAGATGGGTCTCAAAAAGGCTTAGAGAAAATGAAGCGTTTGTTGACTGCATATAACAAAAGCAAAGACTTCTCTGGAAACTGACCATTGATGATGTAACAGAAGGTAATGTACCAAGACCTCAGAGGCCTAAAGTCAAGAGCAAAGGTAAAATCAAAATGCTGACCCAAAAGCACCATTCCCCAGGCTAGGAATGTAGCTCAGTGGTACTTGCTTCACTGGTACTTGGTACTAGGCTCAGTGTACAGAACTTAAGAAAAAACAAAACCCCTAACTGGACAGAGACATGGCTTAGTGGGTAAATGATCTTGCAGTAAATCTGCAGCCCCAAGTTCAAGGGAAGAAGGACCCAACTACACACAGTTGTCCTCTGCCCTCCACACCTGCCCCCATGCTCCAATTTTTACAATTGACAACTATAATCAGTGTATTTTTAAAACTACTGTCCAAACTTAACTGATCAGTGTGGAAGTTTTGCTCATAATCAAAGGAAGCTTTAACATTGAATGGGAAACTTTAAGTAAGCAGGTATTTAAGACTAGATATGCTTGTCTTGTTTTTGTGGGGTTGTTCGTCTTGTTTTTTACATTAGTCAAAAGGCTTAGAAGCAAAGCAACAATAACTTGGGCAAGAAACCACTGCCACTGCAGCCCTCTGAAGTGTATCGAGACACAGCTACACAAACCCCATGCCCGGGCACACCCCAAATGCACAGCTTAGCTATGCCATGAGCCCATACCTCTTTTCAAAAACCTTCTCTGTTGGGAAATGCTTATTCAAACAGGGAAGGAGATGACAACTGATTAAAGACACAATTGTTCTCAACTTATGTTTAATATATATTTCAAATTATTTACAAGTGAGTAAAACCCAATATTATCTGGATTTTTAAGAATTTGTCTTGTATAGCATCCCATTCCTGATGTGGAAAGTCCTGATACCCCATTCTGTAAGAAATTTTCAATTGTTTTTTTGTTTTTAACTCAGCTTTTAACAACCTCAAAATCAGCCCCCTAATCAAGGTGATTCAAAATAAATATCTCCGTTAGAATATTTTTATTCCTTGGAGGAAACTCCTTCCAACTATAGTCTTCACACTGAACACATAACTCAACCATTTTCAACTACAAGTATAATTTAGTAGTTGTTTTATAATCTCATCGTGATGCTTTTCAATGTAATATGGTGCATATTCTGTTAATTCATTACAGACCAAGCTAAAATGTCTTTTAAAAAAAAACTTAACTACACGATGTGAAGCCAAAGTATACATAATTTAGGACATATTTTTAAAGATATGATGCCCATAGGGGTGTATAATCCTTAAGGTTTGTGCAGCCCTGTTCAGGGCTCTCATCTGCATCACTTTCAAAAGATGTTCTTAACCAAAAGTAGTTCGTCTTTAGCAAACATTTCTTTGGTATCTTTTCATTTTAAATAACCTGCTTTAAGATGAAACAACATTTGAGGAGAAAGAATGTATATTATTGCCTTCTAAAAATCCTTTATGATACCGACATTTAACTATTTCCGTCATGATGCTAAATTACTAGCCTGCTGTTCAAGCTATTAAAAAAAAAATCTACAGAGCTTCAAACTGACATATTCCCCCTGCACCTGTATGGTTTTTTTTTTCATTTTTAAGCATGACTAAAACATTTTCAAAGTAATCTGAACTGAGATAACTTGGGTCGGGACTACAAACAGCATTTTCAGACCTCTCAAAATGGCTGAGACGCTCGCCCGGGTCCGCGGGGCGAACCCGGAAAGTGCGCCAACAGAGGCGCGAACACGCAGCGCTCGCGCCCATCCCAAGGACTTTTCCAGAAAACCCCAGGAGCAGCACATTCCCGCGCCGCCAGGGTGAAACCTGGACCAGGAGCCCCCTTTTCCGCCTAATGGGACAGCGTCCTGGGGACTCCAGGCCAGGGACCCCAGGAGACCGAATCCCGCGACTCTCCGTATAATGTGGGGTTCGGGGCTATGGGGAGTCCTCCCAGAGGGCCGAGCCCCTCAACTTCCAGCTTGGAACCGGAGTTCAAATCCGGCAGTGGAGCAAACCCCGCCAGTTTGCTAGCCATGTCCGGATCTCAAGAAGTCCGCGCCAACGCCCCAACATCCCTGGCTGGATGGCGCGGTCTCCGGGTCTCCTGAGTCAGGGAACCTCGCGACTCTGCTCACAGAGCGCCCTTAGAAACCCTGGGGCACAAGTGCTTGGCGAACCCCGAAATTCAGCTAGAGAGGGGGTCAGGACGGAGGGAACTCTGAGCAGAGTTCCACTCGGCTCCGGAGGGCGAGGGTGCGTGCGCGTCTGCGGCCCGAACGCAGCATCGCCCCGGGAGTCCACGAGATTCAGAGAGAACCCTCCCCCTCCCCGTTTCTTCTGGGTCGGTAGGGTCCCCGACCCTCCACCGCCCCCCAACCCCGGCGTCTGGAAGCCGCGGCCCGCTCCCAGCGCGTGTCCGTCGGTGGGCCCCCGCGACTTCGCTGGTAACGCCGAGCTGCGCCCCTGTCCCCGGGACCCCGCACTCACCTGCGCGGCCATCACGCGCTGTCGCTCGGCAATCAGGCTACACTTCTTGCACTGGCAGTCCCGCCACATGCAGAAGCGCTTGTGGCCCTTGAGCGGCGACGCGTAGCCGTGGTTCCTGCAGCGAGCGCACTTGGGCAGCCTCGGAGACTTCTTGCTTCCAGAGCCCAGGCCCGACGGCCCGGACCCCGAGGCGCCTCCGCTGCCCCCCGCGCCGGAGCCCCCGGCCGCTCCTGCCATCGCCCCGGCCGCTTTGCTGTAGCCGCCGGCTTTGCCCTGCGGCGGAGCCCCCGGAGCGTGCGGGGCCTCCGACGGTGTAGAGGGCTTGCTGAATGAGTCGTCGTTAGGCATCGGGCTTCGTCTCCTGCTCGCGGATCCACCCAACAAGCCGCTTAACGCCCTAGAAGGAGTCCAGGAGGCGGGTGCAGCGCAGACGGACGTGCAGTCCAAATGAAAAGCTCGAGAAGTGGGTGGGGAGTTGTACCTTTTTTTTTTTCTTTTGGCGCGCCTCGCGCAGGACTTTTGGATACTTCTCAGAACCTTCCGAGGATTGCGTGGGCGGGAGAGGGCGCTACTCGGCGTGGCCACGCCCACTGTCCCCCAACTCCATCCACTGCGCTTCTGTGTGCAAGCTTGCAGCTGCTGTACGCAAGAGCGTTGCTGCAAAATCGCTACAAATCACAGCCGTGCGCAGAGCACCAGCACGAGCTCCCTTTGAGCTCCTTGCACCAAGGAGTTGAGCTGAGTGGCGCCCATTGCTGGAGGAGGTGCAGACCACCCTGTGTTGTCGATTACTCTCACCGCTAGCCCCAGGGAGGCCCCATTGGATAAAGGGGACTGCCAGCCGTTTTTTTCCCCACCCCACCCCCACCCTCCAGTAAGAGTGAGACACGGGATTGAAAGTCCAAGAAAAGCCGGTTCTATGTTTATGTCAAATAAAGAGCCTCAGTGCACGGGGCTCAAGCTCCCCAAAAGTTAAAGGTCGGGCTTTTTGCCTCCCACCTGCCTCCTACACCCCTGTTTATTTGTTCTCAGGATCTCTGCCACCTGGCTCCAGTAGATAACTGTCACACCAGTTCATTTAGCTCTAGCCTTCGATGCTTCTCTCAGTAGGAGATAGCTTCTGCCTTTGAAGCAGCTTCGTTTAGAACTTTGAAGGCATAGGGACCTTGGGCATTTAAAAACGGAATTTGACCAAATGGAATTGGGTCCAGCATGGTGGCTCAGGCCGGTCGTCTCAGCACCTGGAAGACTGAGAGAAAAAAAAAAAAAAAACACTATGAGCTCAAGGCCAGTCTAGACCACATAATGTGTTCCTAGTCATTTAGAGGTATAGAGATCTTGACTTAAGATAAATAAATGAAAAAAATACATACTGACTTTGGGGCCACATAGAGTGACCTGAATTTGTAATTCCCACACCCTGGCAGAAGCTAAAGGATTCCTAAGTTTGAAATCAGCCTGGGCGAAGTAAAGAAATTCTGCACCCAAAATTAAAAGAAAAGAAAACTGAATCTGTGAAAGGGATCGTGCAAATGGAGGCATTACTCAAAACTTAGTCCATGCTTAGATCTGCTAGTTCTGGGGTTGGAGTGTGTGTTTCAAGACAGCGTTTCTCTTTGTAGTCCTGGCTGTCCTGGGACTTGTCGTGTAGACCAAGCCTGCCTTAGAAATTCACCTGCTTCTGCCACCCCAGTGCTGGGATTAAAGGCATGTGCCACCACTGTCCTGCTTAATTAAGCTCTGTTATTTTATTGTATGGGAATGTGCCCCCCAAAAGCAAATGAAACGCCCCAGCTCCATCATTTTGGAGCCCTTTCTAGGTTCCCTGTCTGCTCTCCTCCAGGGCTGTCTGTCTTCTGTCTGCACTTGCACAGCAAACCTGCCCCTAAGGTCTGCTCATGAGTTTTCCACAGCCACCGCCATAAGGCTGAATCTCCAGCCTAGCATGATGGCTAATATCTGTTATTTCAGCAATGGGGAGGTGAGGGGTTGAGATTGGAGAAGTGTGAGTTCCAGTCCAGCATGTGCTACATACAAGAGGAAATCCAGTACAGTCCCCAACACACACACACAATTTCCCCAAGACTCTGAGTCCCTGCAGGAGCCTCCACCTGAGTTATTTCTTTAGTCTTTAGTGTATTACCTGCACACAACATCCCAAGAGCCTAACAGTGGCTTGGAGCTCTCCACTGACTCTTTACAGGTGTCTGTTAAGTGTCTCATTTCTAGGCTTGCTTTGTACGATTAGGAGACTGTCATTATCTTACCCTCCATTCCTCTTGGGTTTCACCAGTGTCAACACCTGCCTTCTGCATTAGGGCTGTTTCCCCAAAGGAGCACAGCCAGCCTGCTTGGCTTCTCAAGGTTACCCAGTGGCCATGCCTTTTTAGCAGTGTGGCATGGTCAGGACACCTCTGAAATGCCCCTAATGCGCCTGTCTCATTCCAATCCTAAACCTTCTGTGTGGATTTTTTCCATTATCTGAAAATATCTTTGAAGGAAGCTCCTGGCTTTACAAAGGACCTTAGAGGAGATGCCAGGGAAACTCCACTTCAGAAAGGGGTCCTGATGTAACCATTCACCCATCTTAGAAGCTCTTAAGTGATGACCATTGTTGTCATTCAGGGATACCCCAGTCCTGTAAAAGTCTCTCACTGAAATTTACAGGCCTCTAATCCCAGTTACTCTGAAGACTGAAGCAGGAAGGTTTCAAGTTCAGGGTTAGCCTCAGCTACATAATAAATTCAAAGCCAACCTGGGCAATTTAGTGAGATCTGTCTTAAATTAAAAGTAAAAAGACACCTGGGGGCAGGGTGTGGTGGCACACACCTTGAATCTTTCTTTAATGTGGACTCAGAGGCAAGTACACCTCTGAGAGTTCAAGGCCATAGGGCAAGTTCAGGTTATCTGGGGCTGTATGACGAGACACTGGTGGGGGGAGGGACTAGGGAATGTATAGAGTGCTTGTCTTTCAACCCTACGCTGGACCCTCAATACCACAGCATTAATTAATTAATTAATAGTTAAAAACATGCCAACTGTTCTTAACCACTGTTTATTTGCATTATTTTCATACTAATAAGCTGCAGTGGAATCACTCCCAAGGCCCTGTCCAGCTTTAGACATTGAAATAGATGGGAGAAGACGCATCTTCTGTGAAAATCCCAGATCGTGAGGCATCTTCCACAGAGTGACTTAACTCTACATGACTTCCATAGGAACCTACGAGTTCTAGGCCTTGAAACCTACAAGACTGTGAAGAAACTAATGGCAAATGAAGTTTCTATTTATAAAGCACAGAGGATGGGCCTTGCAGGAAGTCCACAAAGGCAGGGGAGATGGAGGCTATACCTAGTAGGAGGGCGCGGCTCAGTTTCCAGAGCAGAAAACAGGCCTCAAGAATGAACAGTCCTACTTGATCTATTTCTTTGCGCATTAAAAACACAAAGAACAAAAACAAACAAACAAACAAAAAACTGTTTGAGACCCTGGGGGTGGAGCCCAGGGCCCTGTGAGTGCCAGGCAAGTGTACTACCTACTGCACGGCCTCCTCAGTCCTTTCTTGTATTCTTTTTTAAGTTTTAAAACAGTCTCAATAAGATGCCCACAGTGACCTTGAACTCTCTTCGCAGCCCAAGAAAGCCTTGAATTTTTGATCCTCCTGCCTCAGCCTTCCTAAAGCTGAGTTTACAGGCCTCTACAGTAATCCCACAGGCCAACCTCTTACTAATGCTTTGAAAGTCCTGGCCTTGTTGTCTCCTTCCTTTCCCAGACTACCAAAGCCCCAAAGTGATGTCACAGATCCGTACACGATGATGCAGAGCTGTGTCCACCACACACTGACAAGAGGAGGCAGTTTCAAAATGTGTCTTTAAAAATAGCTAAAACAGAACCAAGATAAAAACTTCTTAGTTAGGAAATTTTTTAAAAATAGAAAAAATAATTGATAAATTGGGCTTCATCAAAATTTAGATCTTTTGTGCCTCAAACACTACCATTTACAGATGGAAAGAAAATATTTAAAAATCATGTCTGGTAAAAACTTGCATCAGGAATATGTAAAGAACTATTTTGACTCAATAATTTAAAAATGGGGGTGGGGGCCAGGCGTTGGTGGTGCATGCACGCCTTTAATCCCAGCACTCGAGAGGCAGATGCAGGCAAATCTCTGTGAGTTCGAGACCAGCCTGGTCTACAGAGCGGGTTCCAGGACAGGCCCTAAAACAACACAGAGAAACCCTGTCTCAAAAAAAAATGGGGTTGGGGGTGGGACTCAGGGGCAGAATGTCTGCTTAGCATGCTGAAGCCCTGAGCTTGATTCCCAGTACACACACACACACACACACACACACACACACACACACACACACACAAAATGACCAATAGGATATCTGTGATTTAAAAGCACAGACAGGTTGGAGAGATGACTCTGGTTAAGAGCACTAGCTGCTCTGACAGAGGACCTGCATTTGGTTCCCAGGGCTCACATGTTGGCTCACAACTTCCTGTAGTTTTAGTTTCAGGGGATCTAAAGCCCTCCTCTGACCTGCATAGGCACCAGGCACACAGGTGGTACATATACATATATGCACACAAAACACTCATATACATAAAATTTTAAAGCTTGAAAATAAAAACACAGACAAAAGCAGGTATAGAGACATGTACCTGTAAACTCAAGCACTCAGGGCAGCCTGAGGTAAATAGTGAGAGCCAGTCTAAAAGAAAAATTTTAAAAGACAGCTACAAAAATAAATAAATAAATAAGCCACAGACAACAGCAGATATGGAGAAACTAGAACTCTCGGAGACTGCCAACAAGAATTTAAAACAGTATAGCCACTTTGAAATTTTTACCATATGACCCAGTAAAAATTAAAAAAAAACATGAACATGCATCAGTATTATTCACTTGAAACAAATCAAATGACCTAGAGACAAAATTTACTGCATCTACATGAAATATTAATTTGCTCAGCAATCAAAAGAGTGACATAATGATAAATGTTCCAGCATGAGTGAGCCTTAAGAACATTACTCTAACTGGAACAGCAGTCACAGAGCCTGCAAGGGTCTTTGCTAGCTCCTCTGCAAATATGTTATGGTTGTTAAATTGGTGTTTTTGTGGGACTCCTAACAGTGGGAGTGGGGGGTGTCTTTGACTCTTTTGCCTGCTCATGGGACCCTTTTCCTCCTGCTTGGTTGCCTTGCCCAGCCCTGATACAGGGGTTTGTGCCTAGTCTTCTTGTAATTCTTTATGCTGTGTTCAGTTGATACCCCTGGAAAGCCTGCTCCCAGCATGTATTGTATGAGAAAAGAAAAAAAAAAAAACAAAACAAATATAGTCTGGGACTGGGAAAATGGTTCAATGGATAAAATCCTTGCAACACAAGTGTGAGGATGAGAGTTCTGGTTCATAAAACCCATGTAAATGCTAAGTAAGCATGATGGGATTCCTATAGTAACTTCTGAGGGACAGGATTCCAAGAGACGAGTTAGCTAGACAAGCTGAACAAATGAGCCGGTTTGAACTGA